GTTGCACGCGCACTGCTAAAGTATCATAGCGTCGCGCATTGCTATACATCATTCATAGCCCCCAAGACCCCCAGCACGCAAACCCCGTCTTCGGCGATTTGCAATAGGAGGCCGTAAAAGGCTCAGCCACCCGCACATGGCCGGCTGATTAATGAAAGAAGCGTGGCGAGAACCCTGCTAGTATTATGTCGTAACGCCCTTAAATATGTGCTGTGGTGCTTCGATCACCCTGAGAGCAGGCGCGTGCCTTCCTTCTATAAGAATTGCAATGCTGAGGCTATCATTTAACCGTTTGCGCATGGTATTTGCTGTTTTCATGCTGTGATTTTCTGCACATATAACAATTTACATTCACGGATCGGAATGCTTCGATTCACGGATCGAATACATGCGGGATATTCACCGGATCTAATGCTTTTTTGATTCACCGGATCGACATGCTTCCGACTTCACGGATCGACATGCTCGTCACCGGATCGAATAAATTTACGTTCAGAATCAGGAAGTATGCAAGGTTCGACTGTAGTGGCGGGCAGGAGGGAAGTTACATAATACAAAGAAGTACCGTAGTGGTTATTCGCAAGTGACACACGCAATGCAAGCCGGAAAGTAACTGAAAGCTTGACCACTGAGTCATCTATCAATATATTTTAATCATATTTTTTATATTTAATATGTTTATACATGGATTAGAAAGGCCAAGGAGTCAGCCAATATTCAAGCAGTTAAATATTGTATGAGCAAGGAGAAAATTGCGAGGAGCTGATGGGGCAGAAGGTGGCGTTACAGTCCCTGGAGCGAAATAAGATGGAAAGGTAGATAGGCCACTGAGGGGAAGCGGTGGGAGGTATAAGAGGTAGAGGACCTAGAGAGAGGCGGGGGGGGAGTAGGTAGAAAAGCCATCGCCTACCAAGGAATGGAGGTCTGGCAGGCAGAGAGGAGGAGGGTCAGAGGAGGACGGTGAGAGATGCTGGCTGTGCGGCAGAGGTGGGGAGTTGGAGAGGTAGTGGGGAAGGGGATGAGTGTAGAAGAGGGGAGAGGTTCGAGGATGGTGCCGAGATAGGTGGAGCGACAGGATAGAATAGGCAGAGGCGTAATAAAGGTAGCAAGAGATGGAGGGATAGAAGGAGGGTAGCGAGAAGAACGGAGGAGGTAGGGAGGAGTGCGGAAAAAGTGGTGGAGAGGAGGGAGAAGGTGCGTGAGGAGGGAGGGTCCTGTATCAGGGGTGCCGCGCCGGGACATCACCCTCGAGCCGACGCCCCTGCCGCGCGCCGGAATCTGGCGGCGCCTGCCATGCCTGCGGGGCGGTCCGCAGGGCGCCGCCTGCGGCGGCCCCCGTCCCGGAGGGCGTCAAAGTTTTTTGGTAAGTAGAGTTGGAAAGGACAGGCAAAGAGGGGAAGAGGAGCGGGGGGGGGGCGGGGGGGGAGGGGGAAGGTGTAGGGAGGGGCGGGGGGCGGGCGCGGCGGGGGCGGAGATGCTCGGGAAGTGGATGGGTGGTGTGGTGAACGAGGCGGTGGGGGCGAAGGGCGAGAGGGGGGTGGTGTGTGTGGGCGGGGGGGGGGGGGGCGTGTGGGGGCGCTTGAAGAGATCTGGGCGGCGCTACCGGGGGGGGGTGGGAAAGGTGTGAGCGGCAGGGTGACCATATCCTTGCCTTGGCCCACCCTCACGAGAGCGCCAGGCGGAGAGATTTCGTGAGCCTTCCCGGCCGCTGGATCTAGTAGGGTCGGGCCTGGGCCCGGCGCTGAATGCGGTTTGTGGCGGGTCAGTGCAGACTCGTAGAGATTGTTTTTCCTGCGTATGTCGCGTTTTGCGTTGACTCGTGAGCCATCGTGGTGGTTCACGTGAGTGCGTGCGCCAACTAGAGTTTATTTTGTCATAAGGTAGTGTGATTATGCATGACACGAAGTATTTGCTAGTCTAGTACTGGAGAAATTAGCGTTTGGATGCGCATTGTGAGCCTTTAATGTGGGGTTCTTGGGTGAGAAATTGTTATTTGTGTAAGCCTATGAATATGCATGCTGCCGAACTATTTGTCTTTTCTTATGCGATATATGTATGTATAGTTGTGCGGTATTGAAGTCAAAGGTACAGAAAGTTTAAATTTTTTGGTTGATTTACATTAAAAATAAACTCGAGTTGTGACCGCCACGGTGAATGCAAGATAAATGAAACTCAAATTCGCACCGCCGCGGTGCATATATTATTATATTATGTATATAAGAAAACTGAAAATCGAATTCGCATGCACCACCGCGGTGCGAATAACAGAAAACGTGTTCTTATTTGCACCGCCGCGGT